GATGACTGGGTGTACACTGAGGGCAGAGGACAGGGCCAAGGCAAGGAGGGGGTTTGCTGCGACAAACACCTCCAGTGTGCTCTGGTCTGTGTACCCCATTTCTCCGGCTTGGCTGGTCAGGACGGGTCCTGGAGGAGCATCGCTCACCGAGGCTGGTTTTCTTCTTTTGTGGTGCTGCAGGCCGAGCTGAGGGCCTCATGCACAGTAGGCAGATGCTCTTCCACTGAGCCACACTCCAGCGTCCTGTCATTTTGCTGCTAATGTCCCTTAGAGTGACCAGCCATCCCTGGCTAGCACTGGGATTAAAGGGGCCCTTTAAAAATTTTTTGATTTTGAGACAAGGTCTTGCTAAGTCGCTAAGTGGCCCAGGTTCAGCTTGAACTTTTGACCCTCCTGCTTCAGCCTCTCCAGATGCCTGGGTTACGACCTGTACCTCTGCACCGAGGTGGCTCAGATCTTTTACAGGATAGAGCCGGAAGAAAGGCTTCTCTCTGTGTCCATGATGGCGCTGGCTTTCTGCTTTACATTTGCACCGAAACTCTCACAGCACTGAGCGGAGGCCATCGGTGCAGCCTGGGATCCCACTGCTCGGGAGGCTGAGGCAGGAGGATCGACACGAGTTTGAGGCCAGGCTGGGCTACACAGTGAGTGAGACCCTAGGGCTGCACCCGCCTGCGTGCTGCCAACAGTGAGCAGATGGTAAGTGCCCGACACCCCGTTCTCTTGCAGGCCCTCGACTTGGGCCCCAAGTCTCCGAAGATCATGATGGCGTATATGAACCCGGGGCCCCACTATTCTGTCAACGCCTTGGCCCTGAGCGGCCCCAGTGTGGACCTGATGCACCAGGCTGTGCCCTACCCGAGTGAGTGCCACCCTCCTTCCTGCCCTCCCCGCTGACCCCATCTCTCGGGGACCTCTAGGGTCCCTTCCCCTCAGGGGAAGACACTTACAGGGTGGCACCAGGGTCATACGGCAGCTTCTGTGCTCCTCTGCAAGTGTGAAACATGCCTGCGCATCCCTAGCGGGGTGGGAGAGCGCAGGGACCGTACTAGCCAGGCGGGTTGGGGCACACCTGCAATCCTAGCGCTTGGCAGGCTGAGGCAGGAGGATCTCCATGAGTTCAAGGCCAGCCTGAACTGCATAGCGAGAACTTGTCTTCAAAAAGAGAATGTTGAGGGCAGGCAGTGGCACATGCCTGTAAACCCGGCACTCGGGAGGCTGAGGCAGGAGGATTGTCACAAGTTCAAGGCCAGCCTGGGCTACATAGTGAGTTCAAGGCCAGCCTGAACTACATAGTAAGACCCTGAGTTTTGACTCAGAGTCTTACTGAATACTAAGTTAGCAAGTTAGGCATGGTGCTGCATACCTGTGTACTCTTAGCACTCTGGGAGGCTGAGGCAGGAGGATATTCAGTTCAAGCCTGGCCTGAACAACTTGAGACCCTGAACAACTTGAGACCCAAAATAAAAATGACCGGGGATATAGCTCAGTGCTAAGGCCCTGGGTTCAATCTGGCGGGGATGCGGGTGGGGGGTGGGGAGAGCTAAATTGCTAAATTGCTCAAGCTAGGTTTGACTTTAAAAATCTCCTGCCTCAGCCTTCCAGAGTGCTATGATTATGGGTGTGCACCACCTTGCCAGGCTATAAAGCTTTACTTCTATTTTTTTCTTCCCTTTTGCATTAATTCAAACTACACTGATTTGTCACTTTTACAGGGTAGAAATGCAATATCAGCAATCACCTTTCAGCCACAATGTCCTAGTGCAGAAGAAATCTGGTGGGACATTAGAAATCTTACAAGGGGAGCTGGGTGCGGCAGTATGGGCCTGTAGGCCCAGCTACTGGGGAGGCTGAGGCAGGAGGATTGCTTGAGCCTAGGATTTTAGGAGCAGCCTAGATGAGACAGTGAGACTCCATTGTGAAAGACAGAAAGAAAGAAAGAAAGAGAGAGAGAGAGAGAGAGAGAGAGAGAAAGAGAAGCCAGGTGTGGTCGTGCACCCCTGTAATCCCAGCACTTGGGAGGCTGAGGTGAGAGGACTGCTGAGAGTTCAAGGCCAGCCTGGACTACACAGTGAGATCCTGTCTCAAAAAACAACGCCAAATTCCAGCCAGCCAACCAACCAAACAAATGAAAAGGGAAGGAAAAGAAATTTTACAAGGGGCAGGAGACTCACACCTGTTTACAGGGCTAAAGCCACTTCCCCTGGGGACGAAGAAAGGACGGGGCGCGGGTCGCGGGGCTGTGTCAGGCGGCCGCTGAGGTTCGCGTCCTGCCCCAGGCGCCCCCCGGAAGCAGCGGCGGGAGCGGACCACCTTCACCCGCAGCCAGCTGGAGGAGCTGGAGGCGCTGTTCGCCAAGACCCAGTACCCAGACGTGTACGCGCGCGAGGAGGTGGCGCTCAAGATCAACCTGCCGGAGTCCAGGGTTCAGGTGGGCGCCCTGCCACGCGCGCGACCCGACCCTTCCTGTGGCCGCATTTGGAAAGTGGCCCCGTGTCCCCGTCGCTCCCGCCCTGTCTCCGCCTCCCTGCTGCCCGCCCGACCCTTGCTCCCTTGCTCCCCTGCTCGGAAGCAGCTTCTGGTCCTGCAGAACCGGTCCCAGGAACCACAGTCTCTGTTTATCACAGACCCACACCCATCATTGCATTTTATTTTCATCTTGTAAAAGTCTGCTTTTGGCAGGCGTGGTGGCGCACGCCTGCAATCTCAGAGCTTGGGAGGCTGAGGCAGGAGGATCGCCATGAGTTCCAGGCCAGGCTGGGCTTCACAGCGAGACCCTGTCTCAAAACCAACCGACCAAAAAAATGCCCCCAAATTCTGCTTCACTGGAACTTTAATAAAGAATCTTGGATTTGGCTTTTTACTTTATCTTTTCTTTCTTTCTTTCTTTTTTTTTTTGGTGATCCTGGGGATGGAACCCACGGCCTCGTGCGAGCTAGGCAAGTGCTGTACCACTGAGCAACCCTTAATTTAACTATAAGTAAATTCACCTGCAGCCTCATACTCTCCTGTCCCTCCTTATCCGGCTCGATTGCTTTCCCCACAGGCTTTACCATCCTCTGAAATACTCTGTGATTCACTTATTTACTACTCAGGTGTCACACGGCGAGCCCTCCCGGAAGGCCGGCTCCACGGCCGCGACGGGTCCCGAGTGTGGCTCTGCAGTAGAAGACGAGGACGGTTGATTCACGCTTGTTAGCTGGGCGGGCGGGCGGCGGGGAGCGTGTGCGTGTTTTCTGTTTCTCCTCCTTCTGCGGTGCTGGAGGTGGAGCCTGCTCTCTCCGGTGTGGTGGCCCAGGTGCTCTGCCGCTGAGCTCCGCCGGGGTCTTGCTGGGTGTGTCTGTGCAATGGGATCGAGGGGGCACGGCTGTGTGCGGATGGCTCTATGCAGGCCTGTGTGTGTGAGCGGCAGGACGGGTGAACGTGTGTGTGTGCGATTGTGCATTTCCCTGCACACATACACGTGATCGGCTAGATGAATGTGCTCATGTCTGAGCTCTCACACTGTGCGTGTCTGTGTGTGATGGGGGTGGGCGAGTGTGTGTAAATGTCTGTGATTGTTTGGATGACGTGTGTGTGTATGTTTGTATGGCTGTATATGTGTGTTGCATATATATATATGCACATACATGGTGGGAGGATGTGTGTATGCAGACGTGTTTGTATGCATCCGCGCATGAGTGAGTGGATGAATGTGTGTATGTGGGAGGATACACATGATGGGTGTGCACGTGTGGCGGGAAGGATGGGTGAGGGTGGGTATGTCTGCATGACTGGGTGGATAGACATGCATGTGCATGTTCGTGTGATTGCGTGACGGATAGGCGGATGCTTGTGTGCAGACATGACGGTTGGTGCACACGTGTTGTATGACTGGTGGATGAACAGGTGGCCCATAACTGGGTGCAGAGCAGCGGCGTGTGGCTCGGGCTCCTCCTCCGACGGCACCTTCGCTCTTTGGGCCTCCTCCCCGCTTACCCCCGGGTCTCTGCTCTCGCCCTAGGTTTGGTTCAAGAACCGCAGGGCCAAGTGCAGACAGCAGCGGCAGCAGCAGAAGCAGCAGCAGCAGCAGCCTCCAGGGGCACAGGCCAAGGCTCGTCCTGCCAAGAGGAAGGCGGGCAGCTCCCCGCGGCCCTCCGCAGTTGTGTGCCCTGACCCTCTGGGCATCTCGGACTCCTACAGCCCCCCTCTGCCTGGCCCCTCGGGCTCCCCCACCACGGCAGTGGCCACGGTGTCCATCTGGAGCCCAGCCTCGGAGTCCCCGTTGCCTGAGGCCCAGCGGGCGGGGCTGGTGGCCTCGGGCCCCTCTCTGAGCTCAGCCCCCTATGCCATGACCTACGCCCCCGCCTCTGCGTTCTGCTCCTCGCCCTCGGCTTATGGCTCTCCGAGCTCCTATTTCAGTGGCTTGGACCCCTACCTTTCTCCCATGGTGCCCCAGCTGGGGGGCCCTGCGCTCAGCCCCCTGTCGGGCCCCTCAGTGGGCCCCTCGCTGGCCCAGTCCCCCACATCCCTGTCAGGCCAGAGCTATGGCGCCTACAGCCCCGTGGACAGCTTAGAATTCAAGGACCCCACCGGCACCTGGAAATTCACCTACAACCCCATGGACCCTCTGGACTACAAGGATCAGAGTGCCTGGAAGTTTCAGATCTTGTAGAAGATTCTGTCTCTACCGCGCTGCGGGCCTCCTGGCAGCCTGGATTCTGGCTGTGGCACTGCCCAGCCCGACACAGCCGACCCCGTCCTCCCCAGGCCAGGGCTCCGGCCTCTCTCGGCCGCGCAGGACTTAGCAAACCTCTCAGCCTAGTGCCGGCGCGACGCTCAGACCGGGGCCCAGGCCCCGAGCCCTAGACTTCAAATCTGGGAGAAGCGGCTTGCGACTGACTGGGGCAACCTGTAGGTCAGAATCTCTGAGCCCTTGAGCAAATAGGGCCGCTCCATTCCTTACTCCCCACGTGGATGCTTCTGTAGCCAGGGTTAGGATCCTTCCAGAGGTACCGACACTGGCCGTGAGAGGTTCCATCTTAGGCCAATTATATAGGCGCGTTTAAACATTTCTTTGGAAGCCAGGCTTGGTAGTACACGCCTGTAATGCCGGCACTTGGGAGGCTGAGGCAGGAGGACTGCTGTGAGTTCAAGGTCAGCCTGGACTACGCAGCGAGACCCTGTCTCACAAAAACCCCAAAAAACCACACATTTGAAATTTTACAGATTTCAGGGCTACCTGACAGGCTTAGGGGGCTGTTTGATAATGCACACATGTACATGAGATGTATATATATATATGTATATTTCCTTCTTAGTTTCTTTTTAAATGCAATCGGTCATTCATTCCCTCACCCATTAGCACTTTGGAAACAGGCATCTTTGATAGAGGAATGGAAGGCAAACTGCCGGTTCCATTTCTACTATTTTTCCTTCATTTTAGGAGTTGCTAAAGACAAATTTCACCCAAACATTGGTGGAACTGGGGTAGTTGCGTGGGGTACCCCAAGTACGATTGTATTGAAGAGTCAGGCGGGCAGACTTCTCATTGGAAATACAGAGGGGGATGGATTTGGAAGCACCCCTGTCCTTTAATGATACTTTTCCCTCTCATAGTTTATTTTGTTTTCAGCTTTGGTTGTGGGATTGGAAAATTGAACTTGGCAGTGGGAGAATTTGAAGGAAGGGAGAGGTAATTTTAAAAATGTTCTTTTTCTTTGTTTTTTTTTTTTGAGACAGGGTCTTGCTCTGTAGTTCAGACTGGCCTTGAACTCACTATGTGGCCCAGGCTAGCCTCGAACTTGAGGTGATCCTCCTGCCTCAGCCTCCTGAATGCTGGGATTACTCGTGTGTACCGCCACGCTCAGCCAGGGTGGCGGTACTCTGACACTTTGTAAGTTTGGTGCTTTGGCCCTGGCCTCTTCCGGCTGTCTCTTCCTTTCATTTTTGAATTGGGGAAGCCAAGAGCCTCTCGTTCATGGGTTTCTCAGGGCAAGATATGAAACAAAGAAGGCAGGAAGGCCCGATGTGGTGGCAGCTCTCAGGGAAGAGGAAAGCCCTGACTGGGACGGGGGCTGGTTTCCATGGCTGATTTCTTTTTTTTTTTTTTTTGGTTTTTGGTTTTTTTCTGATACCGGGAATCGAACTCATGACATCACACTTGCCAGGCAAGTGCTGTGCCCTGAGCTAAATCCCCAGCCCCCTCCATGGCTGATTTCAAGTTCACCTGAGGTTGGTGAACCTGGACCTGGGCAGCCTTTGCTCACAAGCCAGTGTGAGCCAGCCCGGGCTCCCAAGGGAGGAGGAAGCCGAGAAAAGTGGGAAGAATCAGGACTTTTCCAGCCCGAGAGCAGGAGAGGCTGTCACAGTGTAGACCCTCGAGGGGGCGCACTGTGCTCAGTGGAGCCCACAGAGACGCGGCGGTCTCTTTACCGCACAACTTGGCCATCTCTTAGGGCTCTGAGTCCTGCTGGGCACTGGAACCAGGAACGCAGCCGCGAGCGAGACCCCGGGGCAGAAAGGACGGAGGAGCAAAATATAATGGGGCAACATGAAACCGGGGGTGGTAATGCATGCCTGTAATCCCAGCACTGGAGAGGCTGAGGCAGGAGGATCCTGTTAGTAGTTGCAAGGAGTTGAGGGCAAGGAGTTGAGTCCCATCCAGGGACCCCACGATCCTTTTCCTGAGCTGGGCTCCTTGGACACCGACATCTCAGGTGTCCAGGGGCCACCAAAGTTCCCGTTTCCTAAAGCCACGAAGGCCCGCAAGGCCGGGGACCCGAGGAAGAGGCCAGCAGCCTCCCTCAGTCTGCGACAGTGCCTCTGCCTTCTTTCGCCACTCGCTGGCATCCAGGGCCCGTCCCTGACTACCCACAGTGAAATCGATTAAACACGTTGAGTCTCGTCGAAAGTCTGTGAGATATTTTATTTGTGTGTTTTTCCTGGTGGGGTGGACGTGGTTGTAGAAACAAGAATTGCTCTGTTCTGGGGCTCCTGGGCGCCCCTGTGTGACTTCTCTCCACCTCTTTCTAAATCCCGTTTAGAAGGAACGCAGAATCCGGCACACACCTGTCATCCCAGCTACTCTGGGAGGCTGAGGCAGGAGGATCCAAAGTTCAAAGCCAGCCTGGGCAGTTTAGTGCCTTAGGCATACCCTGTCTCAGAGTGAAAAAGAAAAAGGACTGAGGATGCAGTTGAATGTAAAGGCCCTGGCTTTAGTCCCCTGTCCAAAAAAAAAAAACAAACCAAAACAAAAAAAGGAGGAAAAGAAAAAATACACTGAGCAGGTCCTCAGTCTATGTGGGGATAAGCCAGTCCTGTCTTCGTTCTCACACCCACGCACCACAGTTGCTGCTCTTATCAACCCTGCTTCGCCGGTGGGCAAGCTGGAGATTGAGGGCCAGGGACCTGCCAGGGGCCCCCAGCTGGGAAGGGAGGGGCTGGGCTTCAGCGGCATCCTGTTGGGGTGCAGAATCTCCCTCCTTCTGTCCTTTTCACTCCATTTGTTTAAAGTTTATTTTTATTTTTGAGACAGGGTCTTGCTATATAGCCCGGGCTGGCCTGGAACTCTGAAGACCCTCCTGCCTCAGCCTCCCGAGTGCTGGGGTGACAGGTTGTGTGCGATCATTCCTGGCTCCCCTCTTTTGTGCTGCCCGTTTCTCCTGCGAGGAAGCCTCTCCTCCCTTCCCCTTTCCACCTCCCCGTCCCTGATGGCCGGACACCCCCTCCCCTCCCCACCCGCCCCAGGCTGTGTTCTCCGTTCCTGCCCAGGACCAATTTAGCAAATGCCCCAATCCTCTTAGCACAACTGTCCAGCCTCAGCAGAACGGCGGGAATTAGGGAGGATTAGGGGCTGGTGGGGGAGGGGCTTCATGGAGACAACAGCTTTAACCCAACGATGCCCACCCCAGCCCCTGGGGACAGCCACGTCACAGGTCACTCTAACCTGTGTGCAGGACTGTGACCCTCTTCCCAGGTCACTCCGTCCCGGGATCTTCACCGAGACAGGGCTCTGAGTACCCTGAAGGGGTAGGCAGTTCTACCAAGGCTCGGGTTAGAGCTCCAGGCTTCTGGTACTTCAAAGAAATGCAAGCCAGGAGAAGAGAAATGAACGGCCCTGGGCCACATCAGGGTAATTTCAGTGTGTTGCCTTTTTTTTTTAAACGTTTTTTTAGCGGGGACAGGATCTCACTATGCAGTCTAGCTTGGCCTTGAGCGCACTCTGTAGCCCAGGCTGGCCTCAAACTCGTAAAGATCCTCCTGCCTCAGCTTCCCAAGTGCTGGGATTACAGGTGTGTACCACCATGTCCTGTTTTTTGTTTTTGTTTTTTAAAAACAGTCTCACTACGTAGCCCAGGCTGGCCTCAGACTTGGTGATCTATTGAGTTCCCACTCCTCTGGTCTCATTGAGATCTGGAGGGGTCCACATTTGTAATCCCAGGGGAAAGTTATTGGAGTTCCAATCAGTAATTCCAATCTACCACTTCCAGTGCAGCCCACAGTGAGAATAAAGAGACAAACACACATCTACAACGGTGAGAAGCCGAGTCCAGGCAGGACAGTGGCTAACTGGAACACAGGCCTTGACCCAGGGCCGAGCTACGGAAACGCAGGTAGTACTGTGAGTGGGGCTGAGGCGTACTAGCGCCTCTGCAGTATGCAGAGAGGTACAAAGAGCAGAAAGAGCAGTCGGCACAGCACAGTTTGAGGAAGTGTCCTGCGTTTTGGGGTCTCTGCTCTAGCTTTGATGTGGGCCTTCATGCCCTGAGACGTCCTGCATTCTTTCCTGAGCCTGTCACGTCCACAGGGCCCGTCACACGGCCTAGCTCACGCATACTGGTTAGGAGCCATAGGAGGGGCCTCACTGGCAGCTCGGCTAGATCCCTTTGCTTTGAGTAAAGCCAGTTGAAAGGGTAAAGAAATGTCCGAGCCAGCTCTGTGCCTATCAATACACGGAATCGGGCCCAGGTTTGGTCGAAGTGGAGGCAAACACTCTTCTTTCAAGGAGAGCTGTCCCGGTGGTCCTCCACGGTGATCCTCCTGCCCCAGCCTCCTGAGTGCTGGGATTACAGATGTGCACTACTACACCAGGCAGTGATGATGCTCTTATGCAGGAAAATGCATTTCAGAGAAAGGGAATAGAAAGCAGAGCAGAGAAGAAGAGATTCCATAGGGACAGGAAAAACCAGATTCGATTCCAGGTACAACCCCCACCCCCAAAAAAACAAAACAAAAAAACCCCCTCCAAAACAACCCAAAACCCAGCCCTTTTCAAATTTGCAGACAGGGTCTGTCTAAGATGCGAAGTCGCTCTGGCTGGGATTGAATTTATGATCCTCCTGCTTCAGCCTTCTGAGTGCAGGGTGATGCTTTGCTGTGTGCGTACGCTGTGACATGATGATCCCCATCAAGCTGGCTGTGGAGGAATCAGTGAGCTAGGAGCTGGGATTGTCGCAGGCAGACAGCGGCCCACAGTGGAGGCCGAGGAGCAGGCCCTGCAGGGATCTCACAGGAGCAACTTCCAGGTCCTGGCTGTGGGGCCTCTGGAGCGTGGTCAGGTTGCCGTGGGCTCATGGACAACGCGTGAACACTGCGTGGACTTGACCTCGAGGAGAAGCGTGTGGTCTCCTGTGGGGAAGAGATCGGATCAGAAGGGATCAGATTGCTCGCACAAGCCCAGGCTCCCTTCTAAAGCCCTAGAGCTGAGGCACACAGCCCTCCGGGCTGGCGGGAGCTCTTTCTCCCCGCCTTTG